ACAGAAATGTTTCTGATGTAACGTCCAACATAAAATCGTCTTTGCGCAGAGGCTTAACATTTTCAAAAACTTTGGGATGCGAAGATTTAAATGGTTCCAAAGTCATGGGGCACTCTCACTTGAGACCCGTTTCGATTATATAATTCCTTCAGACCCTCAATGCTTGACTCTGAAATTCTAGCGCTCAGGCTTTCAGCACCCAATTTCCCTTGCCCCCGAAGTTTTTTATCTTCTTGTCTTTTTTGAAATAACACATGCGGAGCATCGTGGTCTTCTCCTCCGGTCAGGCGTATATCTGTGCCTCGTAACAGTAGCGTCTCAGATATGCGTCGAGATGTTACCAAAGCTAGCCATAATACTACGCAGTAGATCGGCCCTGCAAAGAATTGGGCGACCGCAAAAAACAATTGTAACTGCTCTCTAGGAATGAACACATGTTGCTTTGCAGTTTTACTGTGTTTGTGTCCTTGGTTCCACGGCTTTGCAGCGGCTCTTTCCTTTTCATGTTTGTCCTGGTCCTGAGGAGGCGACGCCTTTTGTTTTGGGCACGTTTTTTTTTCTTTGTTGCTTCGGGCTGTCTTCTGGGTAACACCGCAAGACGACGACGATTTTCGTTTCATTACCCTGTCCGAAACCTTTCTTTTTTGGTGCGTTGCTTTTTCTATGTTACTTCGGTCTGTTTTCCGGGTAAGACCGCGAAAAAAAGACGATTTTCCCTTCATTATACTGTCCGTGCCCGAACTGTTTCTCGATTTGGCGCACGAGTTGCCCGAAGTTTGATCCAAAATGACTGCAGAAAGCCAGTTGCAAGGGGCAGATTTTGAACTTACCAATCGACCTGGGCCAACTTACCGAAGGGGGCGTCGGTAAGTTGGAACCTTTTTTCCCTTAAAAGGTCCAACTTGGCAACCATAAGGTCTTCCATTCGAGCCTCTCTGTTGCTCCGCTTGTAGCTGGTTGACCTTGCTTTCAAGGTCAACCAGCTACAAGCGTGGCAACAGAAAGCTCGAGTGGAAGACCTTATGGTCGCCAAGTTGGACCCTTTTTTCCCTTAAATACCTTCAAAAAGGCTTGAACAACTTTGGAACTCAGCGCTGTTGTCAATTTTTTCCCCTAAACCAGTCCTGGTTGTTGTTATGACCACCTGTTTCTTTGAAGTCAGCGCTGGTCCCTGAAGACTAACACTGTGAAAAAGCTTTCTTCTGGATCCAGTAGCACGTAGAGATAGGGATCCAAATGGACGGGAGTTGCCCACGTGCAAATATAGTGACCGAAGAACAATCCTCGTTGTATGATTTCTATTTTTTCTGGATAAGCATCAACCGTTGTTAGTAGATCGTAAATCAGAATCTCACGCGACCCGGCGTCCCTCCACCAATTGATGTGTTTCCCAAACGCATCGGCCAGATCTGGGCAATTCGTTCTGAAAGCGCGAAACTCAAGCCTTCCAGGGCTTCCCAATCGCCGAAGCCTCACAGCAGCCTCCATCGAAGTGTCCTAGCAAGTGACCGGGGGGGCCCACCACCAGCTCCTAGTTGCTGTTTTTCAAAATTCAACCGTGGAAAAATATGGCAAACCATGCAAAAACTGGAGCGTTAACCGCATACATGTCAACGAGATATAGATATATTTTATTCCTTTCCGTGTTATATTGTTGCCGACCAGATTTGCACTAGTTATTGCAGCCGAAGGTCAAAGAAGCTGTGGCCCAACCTTTGAACTCAGTCGCACCAGTCCTGTTCAGGGAACCGGGGGGCCAACTCCCTGTGAGTTAAACCCAACCGTTTAAAACAACAAAACAGTTAAAACAAAAAATGAAACTTGAAACCAAAAGATTTCCGAAATTCAAGTTACTTTACTTGGGGCAAGACCGGCTAAAACGCTTGCACAACTTCAGGTCTACTTTACTTGGGACAAGACCGGCTGAAAACTATGAAGGTAAGACCACCATCACCAGCAAAGGAAGCAAAAAAAACACTCATAGCGCAGACTTGTTTTAAAAATGTCGCCGATGACAGACACATGGAGAAAAAAACTCAAAAGTGGGAGATGTTGGGCTTAACGCTCACCATTTTTGATCGAAAAATCCATGATTTTTGAGTGTTTTTTCCCATTAATTTGGTGGTTCTTTGCCCTTGGCTTTGTGCCATCAATTCAGTGGACCCGATCTCTTCTTCAGATTTTTATGGGCCCATGTTATGACTCACAGCCGCTGGTTGGAAAGACAAGGTTTTATCAATGAAACGTAGTGGGACTTAAGCCTAACATGGGCCTAAAAAAATTGAAGAAGAAGAAATCGGGTCCACTGAGCTGATGGCGCAAAGCCAAGGGCAAAAAACCACCAAATTAATGGAAAAAAACACTAAAAATCATGGATTTTTCGATCAAAAATGGTGAGCGTTAAGTCCAACATCTCCCACTGAAACTATCCAACCAGCAGCTGTGAGTCATAACATGGGCCCAAAAAATCTAAAGAAGAGATCGGGTCCACTGAATTGATGGCACAAAGCCAAGGGCAAAGAACCACCAAATTAATGGGAAAAAACACTAAAAATCATGGATTTTTCAATCAAAAATGGTGAGCGTTTAGCCCAACATCTCCCACTGAAACTGTCTAACCAGCAGCTGTCCCACTGAAACTATCTCCCAGCATCGTGCGGTGATTTTTGGGCACGCCCTGCCCCCCCCCGGTGAAGACCAGGAGGTCCTTTCCACCTGGTGAAGACCAGAGGATTGACAAATGAAACGAAGAAGGGTAAGACCTTCTTCTCAAAAAATGAATATGAAAAAAAACAGTGAGGGGTAAGACCACCATCACTGAAAAAAATGTTCATGGTTCAGTGTTGTTGTTTCATAAAATTATTGTTGTTGTTCATTGATGTGGCAATGTAGCAACCAGGAGTTCTTCTCCACCTGGTGAAGACCAGAGGATTGACAAATGAAGCGACGAAGGGTAAGACCTTCTTCTCAAAAAAATGAAAAATATGAAAAAAGTGAGGGGTAAGACCACCATCACTGAAAAAATGTTCATGGTTCATGGTTCATGGTGCATGGTTCAGTGTTGTTGTTAGTTGTTGTTCATTGATTATCTTTAATTATTATTACTATCATTACTATTGTTATTATTGTTATTATATATGACTATTTATTATCATCACTTTTTAGTGTTGATTACTTCTTACTTTAATATTTCTTATTTTTGTTATGGTGATGTTTATCACATGTTAGTGAAACGAGTTAAATCAAACTAAATTGAATCATGTTCAAGTATCACCATTGTCATCCCAAAATTTACCTGCCCCACACTGGTTAAGTTTAAAACCTCATAATGTTTGGGTGGCACTACCCATAGCGTCCAGTCATCCAGTCATCCAGTCATCCTGCCCACAGCTCCACCAGTTGCCCACCTTTACCACCAGTTTCCCTTTTTTTTCGGTTGGCCATGGTCGGTCCTTAAGACTTGAGCAATTACCACACCAAACAACCACCCTTTTTTACACTCTCGCTGTTATGGTCGGTCTTTAAGACTTGAGCCTATATATAATTCCCCCACCAAACCACCACCCATTTTTTCTTTTGACACTCTCGCTGTTGGTATTTAAATTTGAGCCTCAAAACTTGAGCCATCTTAGTCATAAAATCTAGATACCCTTTTCCATTGCAATTCTTGGGTCAGCTCAGCCAGCAACCAGAGTCAAACACATGACATACTTGAGCCAAGTAAGAAGTGCTGTGCCTGCCACGCAAAACATCGCGCAGAGAAGAGAAAAAACTTTTCAAACCCCAAAAAGGCATATGGGCATATGAATTAACAACGCCAAGTTTAATACTGGGCCATTTAATGAGCTGATATGTGTATATTATATATATGAAATATTATATTATATCATATCATATATTATATCATATCATATATATATATTTTTTTATATCGTATATTATATATTATATATTATACATTTTATGCTATATATTTTATATTATAAGATATATGTTTTATGTTATGTATTATATTTTATATTATATATATGATGAATTTATGATTGTAACTTTGCCAACAACTTCTGGTGGATATATCTCCAGGTACATAGAATTTGATGATTATTTATAGCTAACCTAGGGTTCACATATAGTCCTATAGTTCTCCAGTTATAGTTTAGATAAGATATATAACTATACATTATTGGATCTTATGGTTCATGTATCTGGATCAATTTACTCACGATGTTGCGACGTCACTGGAATGTTAGGCTTTTCAGGTTATCCAGATTCATGTATATACATATATTTATTTACGATAAGCAAATTGGTTTACAACTTGGATAACTGGGGATACAAATGTGACAAATGGGGATGATCCGATAATCCGATTTCGTTGTCTGTTCTCGCACAAGGGGATTTCATCAGAAAAACAGAAAAAAAAACGGCTGGTGAATAACTCTGGTGTCCTCAAATGTGGCTGGCTGGGAAATCCTCGAACTAAATGGAGGTGTTTTTTATCGGAATATATTCTACAATGGGGGATTTCCATGTGCTATGTTTGATTACCGGAGGGTAGATGGAGATTTGTTCACTTGACCAGCAAGAAAACGCACAGGATTCAAGATTGGGATTGACAACTTCATATAACTATTCCAGTCTTTGATTGGGAAACTGATTCTTACTGGCTTGTTGTCAGGCATGTTGTGACAAAATATTCTGGAAATATGGATATGAAACAGCAACACTTGGGAATTTAACATAGCGATTGAACACATGGCTATTGAAAATGGCACAAAAATAGTTCGTTGATTTACCTATGTATTAAAGATGGTCCATTTTCCATACCAAACTTTTAGTTTACCGGAGGGTACTTGGTGGCTCATCCCACTTAGTAAGTGGGTTATAACCTCAGTTATAAGTGGATTAACCCTATTTATCCCATTTATAACTGGGGTTATATCCCACTTACTAACTGGGATGAACCACCAAGTACAACCTGCAAAAAAAAGCACGCGAAGGATTCTTCAAGGCGTGCAGTACCAACCTGGTGCTGAAGCTCTCGGAGCTAAGTTGCTTGGTGGAGCCACTGGTAGGAGAAGGGATGGAGTGGTGAATTTTCTATGGGAAGATATGATAATATAATATATCATATATTATTTAATATGGGAATAATATGGGTTTGTCTAAAAATGGCGTATAATCATGTACTTAATAATAATATAAATATATATATATATTTGAATATAAAAGAATGTAGGGTTCATCTGCAAGAAACAAGAGAAACTTCCGATTCGTGGGATGAATCCATAATAATCTCTATATATTCCGACATAATTAATGATAATTCTTCTTTTTTTTAATCCCACAAATATCCCAATAGTAGCTATCATGCGGTTGGTAAAAGTCACCTTAACACTTTGAATAGGCAGCTTTCACTAAACTAACTATTACCCAATAATCGTAATTCATAATTGTCCCCACAATACCCAGCAAGTAGAATAAGCCACCAAGCATGTTTGGTTTTTTTTTTGAGAAGGCCCCACTTTAGCCAATTCTGGGCTGATTTTGGGTCTCAGCCATGGTCAAAACAGGGCTGCATGGCCGGCCTATTCTCTCATCGGTTCGATGATGATGATCCTTCCATTAACAAGGGGAATTAGCATGAATTACTACTTTTGGAAATTAGTTAACTGTTAACTCATTGAACATGGCCCATTTCTACTTACTTTGACCAACCACATGATAGGCAAGGAAGAGAACAAGAGTGAGGAGGTGGAGTATGTCCGCTCTTCCTCTGAACTACCCAAACTTCCTGCGTTTATGGCTGACCTCTCCGCGACGTCGAAGGGCGATGTCAGCACTGAAGCTGTGCAGAAGTCATCTCAAGTCAACACGGGCATCCGAAAACAAAGGCCATGGTTCAGTATCAGCCAGGAGGCTAAAGCCGAAGCGCGTTTTTGCCCAGATGGACCCAGATGGACCCAGGCCTTCACTCCGTTCGAGCTCTACCCGTTCTGATGAGGCCGCTCGACTTCTCTTGTGTTGATGGACGAGTGAATCCTTAGTATATCACTGCTGCCATCACCTGTTTCTTATCCAATGGATTCGCGCCGTGCGCGACGTGCGATCCATGATTCGTGGGGGTAGCGATCCCTGACTTCGATCGGCTGATAAGAGGCCTTGGCAAAATCAGCGGCTGACCATTGCCTATCCTGAATGGAGTTTCCGATTGTCTCTGGCTATGAAAATATCTGTGAGGATTAGATTAGATAGGGGGATTGTGGAGTCACAGGGGAGTAGATGGGGATTATTCATGATTATTCATCCCAACCTGACCATGGTGGCCATCCCCATATTTCTGACCGTTGGGCGCAGGTCGAGCGGGTTGCGGGTTAAATGAGTTACACATCCCGAAATGGTCACTCTTCTTGTTTGACGAAACTCAGTCTGAGTGACTTTAATTCTTCCGATTTGATTCGAAGACTCATCTCAACATTATTTAACATGATCCAAGAATTGGTCAGAATAGAAACAACTATGAACAACTTACAATCGTTGCGAAAGAAGAACTCGATGGCACCTTTCTCACCATTTCCGTGGTGATGACAACTTTCCGATTCCTGGATAAGTGGGTATAGGAAAAAAACAGCTCAGTTACCCTCGAATCCTAATTAGGTTATATCCCTGGTTTTGTTAGTGGGATAAGTAGGGTTAATCTACTTACAACCAGGGGGGCTAGCCTACTTACGATCCGTGGGATGAGCCACCAAGTACTGTAGTGAATCAACGAACGATGATTACGATTATGAACCACTCAATCCTAGCATCTTTGATAGATATACGTGTATGTCCTATATTCAAAACCCATGATATAGCTCAATATATCATGAAAAGAAACCCACTAACTCATATCAATTGGAATATATCATAGTATATTCATTGGATATTAGTATATTCACAAAGAAACCCATGAATATGTCATCAATGCATCAATCGTTTCTGACGATCCGATGAGATTCTTGGTTTACAGCCACCATTAACTAGATATATCATTATATATCAACCATAAAGGGTGTTTTTTTCTAGTTACAAAATGTTACAAACCAACTTAGGTATCATACATCAGCATCATATCCCTTTAAATCCTTACTTTTCTTGGGTTACATCACCATGGTTTCCCATGGTTTCCTATGGTTTCTCACCGATGTCATGACCAAAAAAGATCCGATCCGATGTGTCTCGCCGAGGTGTGGAGAATCTGTCGGATCTGATCGATGCCTTCACCCATTGCTCTGCCACTTGGACTGAGCAGCGAGTTTCCCAGCGAAGTCGTTGTTTTTTTTTGCAGTGTTTTTTCTCGTCTACTAGGTGAATTCGATGGTTTATGGATGTTTATGGTAATTATATCAAGGCATTGATGGTATATCTACTTTAGACATCTGTATACTATAGAAAATTTCATGAATTTTCAGTGGAAAATGAACCCATCGGACCATAGAATTCACCTAGTTATACCAGGTCTCCGTGGCCTCCAAAGTGGGTCTCCAGCACGCCATGTTTGATTACCGGAGGGTAATATCTAATACTTAAAATATATAATGACTTATACATGCATGTGTATATATATATATATATATTATATAATATCACAATATATAATATAATGCGGATATATATATATCCATTGTTTTTTCCTAGGGGCATCCACATATTTCCACCATGCCATCAAGTGTCCTTTTCACGCTTAACCTTACTTTTTCCAATCAGTGATATCCATATTTTTGGTAGTGAAATCATAAAGGGTCACCAGTTTCCATCGGTGTCCTCTTTATGTTAGTGTCAGTTCCCCTCATTGATTTTTCACATTCTCATGATTAATTAACATCTGGTAATTTAACGCAGCCGTAGACAATCACAATCTCAATATGCAAATCAACTATATTAGTTTACCAGAAGGTCAATTTTCAATTTCCCTGAGTGTTCACTAGGTGTTCCCTCATTTGTCCCTCATTTTTCCCAATGCCAATGGGTTTTGTTTTTTTTTCTAAGGACATGTCCCCTTTCACATGGTTTTTTTTCCCTTTCTTAAGTCGACAATTTCCCACTTGGTTGGTTAAATTCTCCGCGTTCCTTGAATTTCCATCAGCTGTTCCAAAATGTCATTGTGAAACCTTGAAATTTCCTCAGTTTTTGCCCTCATTATTCTTTCATTTTCCCAGCATTTCTGGCTCGGACTTAGATGGATTTCCCACTGTTTGCTCAGTCTTCCACTTTTTTCAATTTCTCACTGTGTTCATGTTGTTTTAGAAGTTGTTTTTCAGTTCTTCCTTGGTTTTCCCACTTTTCCAAGATTTTTCAATTTTTCTGCAGTTGTCCCAGATTTCCTCGAGTGTTTCCAACAGTTTTTCCCATCAGTTTTCCCAGTTTTTTCCCTACTTCTTCCACCTTTTTCCGCAGTTTTCCAATCTTTTTCCCAGTTTTCTCAGCTTTTTCCTCAGTTTTCCCATCTTTTTCCCAGTTTTCTCAGCTTTTTCCTCAGTTTTCTCACCTTTTTCCACAGTTTTCCCAGCATTTCCTAAGGACGTGCAGGCTTCGAACTGGGCCATGTACTGGTTGCTCAACGAGCGCCAGCGCCGCCCCGACAGCGCCGCCTTCCGGCGCCGCCACGGCTCTGCTGCGGCGAGCACGGCGGCGAGCACCGGGGGAAGGAACGAACGCCGGGACGCACAGATGGTGGGAACGGTTGGCTATGGATCAATAGTCAATAGCTATAAAAAATCTATAAAGGTTCATTGACCTTAGAATAGAATGGTTAATACATATATATATATATATATGTGAGGCCCCCAAGATAGCTAAATTGGTTTATAAGTCCAATAACTATGGTTTATGGTACTTATAACTATAGTTACTGGGGCTTATAAACCAACTTATAACTGGGGGGCCTCACATTGTATATATGTATATATTCATATACATACACATAATCATATATATGTGTATATAATGGTGTTTTAATGGGATTGATGATTGGAACAGTGACTAGAATATATCGATCATTAATGGGAATATCATGGGGATATCAATGGACATATGATAATTCCCAGCTGGAGTTTGTGTCTAATGGTGTTTTACCAAGACTTACCAAGATAGAATGGTGAATTCGCTATGGATCAATAGCTATAAAGGTTCACTGACCTTAGAATAGAATGGTTAATATATACATATAATTACACACATATATATATATATACGTATACATAATGGTGTTTTAATGGGATTAGTTGATTATTATTAAGTAACTGATCCTGTTAATTGATGATTATAAGGTTGAACAAACAGCAAAAACGCGATTTTGTTGATAAGGGGTTATTAAAGATTCTTGTAAGCAAGGGGGATAATACCCATTTATGGTGTTTTACTGGGATTCGTATGGTATGTAAAGTGGCTAGGCTATTCCCAGGGGATTTTTTTTGATCCAATGGGAATAGAATGGATATAATGGGTACTAAGTGAGATGAGCCACCGAGATCCACCAAGTAGATGTAAAAAAAGGCCATATATCCAACCCATGGATCTATGGATCCGCTTTGTTGAGGAAGCCATGATACTTCTTGATAGATCACCAACCAGAACCACTAGAGGTTCAGCTACCCGAAGCGGGAATCAAATATAGTTTTTTCGAAAAACATAGCTATGGTAATCAAACCTACCCTTCTGCACATCAACTATACACAATTTGGTTTTCCGAAACATGGCTGCAACGGTTGAACGATTCATGGAGGCAACTCGTTTCGCGCGGCCATCCAGGTGATGCTTCAGACACTGAAAGTGCGGATCGCGGTAGCGAGGTGCACCAATGGCTGGAACCATGTGGGGCCGGTGGAGAATCATGAGATTGAACTAGCTATTGAAAATGGCCATTTATAGTGAGTTTTCCCATGAAAAATGGTGATTTTCCATAGTTATGGGACAGTTTACCAGAGGGTAGCCATCAAATGCTGGTAACATGAATGTGATTTTTCCATATTAATTGGGAAGTTCATCACCCCAGGTGACGAACTCATATTTTTCAGAGGGGTAGGTTGAAACCACCAACCAGATGAGATATTTCACTAGCTATATAAAATCCACAAAAATGAGATTGAATCCCATAAAATCCACATTGGAAATCTCAATAAAATCATCAGATCAGGGTGGATTTTATGGTGGATTTTATTGAGATAATCCTGCAGGTGATTTCCATGGGGTTCACTTGGGATCACGGTGATATCATGATGTTTTGATGAGATTTGAAGAACCAACATGAAGATATACTGGTTGGTGGTTTCTCATTGTATCCTCCACAAAATGTCCATTGGTGAATCACTTATTTTCTATTTTTTTTGTAATATATGGTAAACCCTCTGGTAAACGTTTACATTTTGCGAACTGGAACACTTTGCCATTAAAATAATAGCTAAACCAACGAAGTACTGAGGATTTTACCCATGTTCCATCGTCTTTTTGGTATGTTGGTTTATAACCCCATCTAACTTTATAGTTTGTTATAAGTTATAACTATCATAAACCCTAGTTATTGTAGGTATAAACCAACTTACCAACTTAGCTATCATAAACCCTAGTTTATTGTAGTGAAATTCTAGTTATAAACGGCCCAACTAAACGCGTTTTCGAACGGCCGGGGGGCCCTGGGTCCATGGGCAGAGTCCAGGAGTCTCCTGGTCGCGGCAAGTGCATGTCACCTGGTGGCAGCGTTTTTTTTGGGACATTATGTTAAGGCCATTGTAGAAGGTTAACATAAATAGGCATGATGACTTACCAACCAGTATTAAACCAGTATTATTATCATTAAACCAGTTTATAAACCATATTAAACTATTAAACTGTTTTTTTGGTTTATAAACCATTATTATTAACCATCATGATTGACCATCATTAACCACTAATATTACTAATATTCACCAGTAACCATTATTATTAACCATTATTAATTACTTATAATGTCAACCCTGGATTAACAAACCCCTGGGCTGTGAAATTGAGAGGGTACCATGGTTTATCAATCCGGGGTTGGCATTAATGAGGTTTATTTTCACCCACTTAAACTAAAAGGTCAGCTATGGAAATGGATTATAGATGATTATAGTATATTATACCCTCTGGTAAACATACAAAAAACAATGGAAAGCCACCATGCTATTAATGGGTAAATCAACGATTTCGACTGGGCCATGTTCAAAAGCTATGTAAACGTTTACCAGAGGGTAAGATTAGTAACAAAAGCATGGAAGCGAGATTATCCATTAGATTGATTTTAGACAATGGATGATAATAGTTAGTTAAACATATTATGTGGATATAATGGGAGTAGAATGGGGATATGATGGAAATATCTATCCTCCAAGCCATTAAGCTGGTTTTTGTTTGTTGTTTTCGGGGGATATATACAACTAGGGCTAAAACTGGATATGAAGTTTATAACTATAGATATTGGGCTTTCGATCTATTGATATTATTCCGAGATTATATATATATGTATATAATATATACATATACATGGCTAAAATGTTTTTTTTAATGATGGCTATAGTATAGTTGGGGTGTATAAAGAAGTACCTTTCAGTTCAGTGTCATCATTTCCATGGCTGGGAAGTTCGCGAACTAGTCGAACTAGGTGCAGGTAAACAGTGCCCCCAAACGTGATGTGAACGTTTGTTTAGATTCACCCCATGAATACTATAGTATTGTAGTACCCAGATGCTCCATGTATGGAATATTTACCAACATTTGCCCTAAAAATCACCCAGATGTAGGTAAATATACCATACATGGAGCATCTGTGGTATATTATAGTTATATCTGCCATAAACCAGTTCGTGAAATGGGAGTTATAAACGCACCAACTTAGCGATTCCGAACTGGGGCTCGAACTAGGTGGTAAACAGTGAATTTTCCAGCAAACTATAATGGTTTGATACACTGTGCAGACTTAAGTAGTTGGTTTGATACACCGAAGCATAATTGTTTGATAAGTTGGTGTGATACCGGGGAATCACTGGAAGTGGGAACCACCAACTTCGGGGAAGTTCTGGAACCAACCCAACTTCGCTTAAGCTGGGAACCTGTGGGAACCATCTTTACAAGGGGAAACCATGGGAAACCGTTTCTGTGGATGGAACGAAATCGAAGAAAACCCCAGCTTGGATGGAAGAAACCCTACAAATACAGGGATAAATCACGACTCTCAACGGGTGCTATTTTTTCGCTGGCCCATCCACAGTATGGCTTGGAGCATCCCATTTTTTTGGACACGCTGAAGAGCACTTGATGGGTGATGGGCTTTTATCGAGATTGACCATGGGCTGAGTTCACTGAGCAATAAGTTGGTGATAACATGATAACATGTCATAACTGGTTAGTGGTTAGGGTTTTGCCAAAGAATCCCTTAGCTGCCTTAGCTGGTTGGTGGTTTGGAACATGAATTTTATGTTTCCATAATATATATATGGGATAATCCTTCCCATTGACAAACTCATATTTTTCAAGATGGTTAAAACCGCCAAGCAGAGAACCATTCATAACCCAATGTACCCTCTGGGAATCAACGGTTATGGCTGGACAATCCCATATAAGTTGGTTATGGTTCTGGGAAAATCATCGAAATTTTATAATGTGGGATGCAAGCCACGTTTGAGTACCGGAGGATACCGGAGGATAAGTGGGTTAGTAAGGGATGATAAACCAGTTGTCAAGCAATTAACTAACTCCATGGCCCATGGAAGTACTTGGGTGCGGGCCCCACTCAGTAAATGGCTCAAAAAAAGCAATTAGATTAATGGAATATCCCCACTTATACATGGGATGAACTAGGGGTTTTATATGGATGATAAACCAGTAATGATTCGTTGGATGCACATCCAAGTATCAGCAAGTTTTGGCACCAACTTTGGACCCAAAAATCATAGCAGTTTTAGGGGTTTCCTATGGGGTTACCCCCAAATCATCCACTTTCATAGTTCCAAGGGAACCATCCAGCTATTTGGGGTACCACCATTTTAGGAAGACCCTATTTTTTTTCCAGCAGTCCAAGATGTTCCATGTGTTGAAGAACCAAGGTGATATTTCCAAAATGACACTAAATGTGGTTGTGCTCAGGTAATCGAACAGAACATGGCAGTAGAAAATGGGACATCAGGGACATCCACACTCAGATGCGAAAATCATCTACTAGTCATTGGTTCAACGGAGTGTAACATGCCAAGTTTCCTAAGATTGAGGCCCATTAATGTGGGACAAACAATGTCATAGACTCTTAGACCACTTATTTGGGAATGGTAAACATACCACCTACAAAAAGGTGAAATTGGAGATAGTTTATGGCATTGTTTTACCCACTCATAGCTGATTTTCACAGTGCAAATTGCCCAGCTTGAACAGAGATCAGCACTGATGGCAGGGTTGGAGCAGGCTGTGAATATCTAACAGTCAAATGGGCTTGGAAACCCATGGGTTTTTCATTACAGAAAAAACTTTGACGAAATTCCATGCGAAAAAATAGGGTTTCCCAATTTTTCCATACAAAAAGAAACGGAATCCCCTTAAATGGGATCCATGGTCATGAATTCACCGTACATAAATCATAAACACCACCCCTGCCTTTGGCTTATGGATGTCGCGACATCACCAAGGGCTCCACATTCTCCAGGGCCAGGGCCGTGTGATATGGGGCTCCCATGGAAGGCAGCTTCCGGCAGGTTCAGTGGCTAAGGATCATATTGTAGTATTGCCATATACCCTCTGGTAATTTAACATAGCTATTGAAAATCACCATTTTTAATGGGTAAATGAGCTATAAATGGCAATTTTCAGTAGCTATGTTAGTTTACCAGAGGGTATCATATATCTGGGTAAATGATAGCTACCTCACTGCTACCTCACTGGAATAATGGTTAGTCAGGGTAATTATCCTAATATGGTCTTATTTCAGGTCAGAGAATTATTATAATTTGCCCAGATATGTGGAAGTTGGATGAATACTATATTTCCATACTGTAGTATATTGTAATGTTTATTGAATATATCATCCCCATAATATAGTTTTCATAATGGATTCAGAATATATGGATTAATATGGATTACCATTGGAAGAACATAGAAACATATGGTGGTTTCTTAAGTCATGGTGGATCCCCAAATCATCATGGTTTTAAATACGAATCAAAATGGACATCCATGACTTGGATGATTTGCGGTACCCCTATGACCTAGGAAACCACCACATGTGCCATGGTCAAAAGAGGGATTGTCAAAAACAATTTAAAGGGTCTCTGGTATTCTTTACAGATGACTATAAACCAAAAAAAATCATGTTTTGGGTTGATCCCCAGCTAGATGAATGGGTGGAAAGGGGCCCAGTTTCTGCCTATATGGCTTATAAAGCAGATACTAAGTGGTACGCACATATCCAAGTGCTATGGCTCAGGTTGCTTGACTATTTCATTTTGGGTTGCAATACTAGACATGTCCGTAGCCAGGTGGGTTTGAACCTTGGATGGGTATAGGGATTATAGGGACCCCAAAAAAGATAGACAAGACAAATCCTACTCAAAATAGTGCCAAGTTGCTGTTCTAGCTTTTTGGGGGTTGCTATACTCTAACACTTTACTGCTATCATTTTTGTTTAAGTAAATGGAAGATATTTACTCATCAGCTAGACGTTAATTTTATTGCAGGGTATCCTAGATTGGCCATGAAAGTTTCAGGTCAAGCTAATGATATCTCCAGCCATGATAGATAGCTTGTACCAGGCCGGGCCGGTGACTCACTTCAGAATCGCACAGTTCTGTGGGCACCATCTTGTGGTGGGACCTTGTAGATTTCTACGTTGCTTCAGAGGTATGAAAAAACTATGGCTTAGTTACTTAATTATAGATGCGATTTTGTAGATAATTCTCCACTTCAGGTGAAACTAAATTAATAAACAGTTCATTGGGGGCACCAGGGCACCTTGTTTTTCTTCGCATGCAGCCTATCGCGGAAGAAACCGGTGAGTTTCTCACCTGGGTGGTAAGTCCCTGTGGTTTATCTTTTGGTTATTTAACATAGGGAACTGGAACATCACCATATTTTTGAAAACATCCATGGCTATTTTTATCATATTTTTTCGTTCATGGCTTCCAGTTCGAAAATTGTTAGTCATAACGAGATCATACATATTATATGTTTCCATATGTTTCTTAGTTAAACAATGTATGTATATATATATATATACATCACCATTGCCATTTTCCCAATGTTTTTCATGTTTTTGTTCCACTATTATCCAACCTTATGCCACAGGGTAATCAATTACTAATCCTCCAAAAAAACTATTGTTGTTGGTTAAACCTCTTTTTTTCCCATGATTAGCCCAAAATTATCTCCATGTTGGTAATTAACATCCCATTACGTAAACCACCATGTTTCTTGGATAAATCTCATTAAACTACCCATTTGTTGTGGGATAAATCCTGCAGGTGGTGTCGCTGCGACCCCCTCCGGGCTTGGAGCCTGAAGGTTTCAAGCCCGGCAGCCCAGTCCCAGGGGTCCAATGGGACATGTACGGGTATTCCTCTTTGGTACTGGTAAACTAACATGAGCAGTGTTCAAAACCCTGGTTGGTTGATGATTATAGTATATTATAGTCATTTCATGTCATTTCATATGGGAAAATAAGCATCAAATAGGGAAATAAGTGGATATAACATGATATAACTATAACTGATAAATGATGATTGCTTGATGATTAGTTGGGGGATAAAAAACTACCCTTCATGTATTGGGGATGAGTTCATAATCCAAGAACAGGGATGATGATACAAGGTGGTGCGTGCCATAAACCCAAAATTCTTAAGCAAGTTATGTGCGTCAACTTAGCTAACTATCGGGCACCACCTTGCATGACTATATGATAATAGATAGTATATGGATTTCATAGTATACTATTGATATCTATTGATAAATCCATATACTATTATAGATAATCCATAGAAATCCATAGTATAGTATATCTATAATAGATCTATACCTTTTATAGAAGCCATAGGTAATAGATAAACCCTCTGGTAAATGTTTACATTTTGCGAACTGGAAAATCACAATGTTTCATGGGTAAATCAATGAACTAAATTGCAATTTTCAATAGCTATGTATAGTTAACATATGTTGACATGATAGCTATTGTTTAGTATTATCTAATGCTAATGGTTTATCTACATATCTATGATTAATATATTTGGGTACATTAATTAATTACATATCTATATTTAATGATTTATCTAATGAAACAATGTAAAGCGGTTTGTCTACATACAGTATTTATATCTCATCATAACATATATATCATCTACTATAATAATGGTTTGTCTACATATTTTTTTGTCTGGGTAAGTGATAGCGACCTCACTGTTCTCCCTCACTGGAATGAGTGTTTTTTTTTGGACTTGTGCCAATATTAGCCGAGAAATTCAGGTTAGTGATTTTGTTTAAAGTTTAATGGGACTGAGAAAATCTGAGAAATCTTCAATAGATACTAAAGTCAAATGGGGCTGGGTCAGAACCTATTGTTATGAATTTTAGTGGGATGAACATCCATTTACCAGCTATCCTCGGGGTCACTTGGTGCCAGGGTTTTGACCCATAGCCAAATGCCAAACAAATATTCCAATAGAAACTTCATAGATATCTTTCAGCATTAGCAGTTGGGTGAGTTTCGACCTTTTGAATGATAGGCGAAACTTGGCAGCTTTGGATGGTGCCAGGCCCGGAAATTTCGTGCCATAAACCCATGGATTTTGTTGACTTTCCAGCATGTGACCACTCTTCCACCCATATGTGAACACTTTCAGTTCACAAACATGGTTCCTGAACTTGATTAATAGTGGTTAATAACTTGATTAATATTGGTTAAAAACATGGCGCTGGACGCGTTTTTTTTGTGAACCCGGCGTGGGATTCTCGGGATTCTCCGAAAAAAATCGTCAGCGAGGATCATCCCACGAAGGGCAGTGGTGAGTTCAACTAGGTTTTTTTTTCATTCATATATCTGGGTAAATTATAACGACCTCACTGTTCTCCCTCACTGGAATCATGGTTTATGTTAGGGAAATCATCCCCAATTTTGGCCTTTTTGATTCAGGTTAGTGAAATATTATGGCCTTTACCCAGATATATGGAACAATGTGGTTAAAACAATGTCATAATCCATCCCCCAGTCGCCCAGTCATCAGATTTTTTATAGGGATTCAAACCATGCCCAGTCATGGCTGGTTTATTTTACCATTGTTTTACATAATATAATCATTTGTCATCCATTATATAATCACCATTAGCCATAATAATCCTAATCATAAGTGATATGATAGACAATAATAATAATGATAATGATAATAATCCATTAATACATATTAATACCATTATTAACCGTACTAATCACCATTAAATACCAACAAAAATCCACTGGATCTTACTGCGATGATCGCTTGGAGTGGTGAGACTTGCTGATTCTCCTTTTGAGAAACCACCGGAATCCACCAGGGACACTGGCAGAAAACAGCTATTTTCATGGCAAAAAAAAAACCGCAAAAAACAAGACGCATCAAGGACATTCAAGGAGTATTTTGGATGGTGTTTTGATGTGTTTCTACATCCCCATGTCCAAGTTTTTCTTGTGATTTTTGCGTTTTACCAACGAAGAATCGCTGCTGATTTTTGAGGCTAACACAGACCTACCTCGCAGACTCCGTGTTTTGGCATTACTGGAGTTTTTTGGGCATATCATTGATGAGAATATCATGGGAATAGTTGGTTATAATATGTTCTAATGGTAAATATCATTGATCCCTAACCTTGGTTGTCGGTGTATAAAAAAAATAGGTTCATGGCTACTTAAATGGAACATATTTCAAAAAATAAACAGCAAATCATGACAAACCATGACATAACCAATATAAATGGAAGATAAATAAAACAACAGCAAAACATAACAGATTTTTTGTGGACTAGCAAAGATTTTTCCCATGATGATGTGGGTTTTTCCATGGAATATACAGATGGCGGGAGAACGAAACATGGCGGGGGTTCCCCGGGGAACATCGCCCAGCGAGACTTCTCCAACATCGCCAGCCGTGGGATGAACATCCATAAATCCCAGCTATCCTCGGGGTCACTTGGTGCCAGGGTTTTGACCCATAGCCATATATATATATATATACATAGTACAATGTGGGGCCACCAAATGATAGCCAAGTTGGTGGTTGTTTTTTTTCTTGGTGAGTTCGATGGCTTGCCACCATGAGTCATATATCGCTAGTTGTAGTGGTCCCATATATATATATATATACATACACCCACACACACATATACATATATATATATATAGTCCCATTATTTTATTCCCATTATATTCCCTTTTAAATCAAGTATTCATGGGGGGTTGTAGTATCCTTCCATCCTTTTTTTCAATCGCTTGTTGTATCACGAGTCGTCGATGCAACCACCGGGCTCGGTCGGGTGGGTCGCTTGTGGTGTCGAGGTCTCATTCTTCACATTGTAGAACTGGCCTCCTGGCGGCCCTGGCGCATCCTCGTAGGAATCGTCTGTGTGTTGATTCAGAACCATCACTGGGATCTGGTTGGTGAATTCCATGGTCAATAATAGTGGTGAATAATAATGGTCAATAATAGTGGTGGACCAAAACAGATGGGGAACGGGGATATCAACCAAGTGGGTAAATAAATAATGTGTTTTAATAACAATTGTGAATATTATTTAGTGGTTAATGATGGTCAATAATGATGGTTAATTAATAATAATGGTTTATAAACTGGTTGGTGGTTTGGAACATGACTTTTATGACTTTCCATACAGTTGGGAATGTCATCATCCCAACTGACTTTCACTCCATCATTTTTCAGAGGGGTAGGTATACCACCAACCAGATATATATATATGAGATTGAACTAGCCATCAAATGCTGGTAACATTTATGTTATTTTTCCATATTAATTGGGAATGTCATTATCCTAACCAGGGATAGTTTTTACTGATCTGATTTTCATTCTAAGTTGCTCGCAGTCACGTAGATTTTTTTTTCCATCCCACGGGGGTTTCCAGTCTTTCTATCCAGTCGGTTGGTGCGGTTGGTGGGCCCTTTCCAGTTAGACATGTCGGTTTACTTTCACCATCTTTCACCCCATTAACATCCATTAACTAGTTCAAGAATGCTCGGTATATCATGATATATCTACCATAAACCCAACAGTTCAACTGGAGCTATTTAAGCGTGATTTTGATTCCTTGCGTTGTTGGTTGGTTGGTTGGCTGGTGGGTGATTATCATTCTCTGACCCTGAGGAATTCGGGTTGGAACAACGGAAACATGGGGATGTTTTGAAAGGCAAAAAACGTTTCTGTGCAACATTTAGCCTCTGGTAATTTAGAATAGCTATGGAAGCCATGGCCCATATTGAGTGGATGATGATTATATACATTGAGTTGCCTCATAAACATGGTCATTTTCCACGGCAAACTGGCGCAGATTCTCCCAGAGTAGGCCAAATATGGAATGTCAACCCAGGGAATAATAATCCCAACTGATTTCAGAGGGGTAGGTATACCACCGACCAGTTAGTTGTTTACTTTTTTATGGATTCTATGGTAATTTATACGGAATCGCGAGAAGTTTCTATGCAACTTCTCGCAGGCGAGCTGGGAACCCTTCTTTGAATGATGGTGATAATTGGGAAATGGTGGTTGAATGGGGAGAGGAAAATTGGGATATTAATTTTCATATCATGAGAACATGATCTTATTTCATTCCTTGATCCATGGAAGCGGAAACATCTCAGAAATCTTTAGTGAATATACGCAAATACCTAAAATGAATAGAAACTGAAGATATCTACAGTAAACACTCCTAAGTTTATCTAAGTTTTGGGTTGAACATGGATCAGGATTCTGGGTGGACGTTGAAATCATGACGACTTCATGTCGTTTTCCGTCACTGTAGATGATATCTTTGTTGCAGCTTACGAGCTCCAACGTTTGATGGTCACTTCCATGAAATTTTTGCATCATCAACGATATTGGTTTAGAGGATGACATACTTCATTCCATACGTCCATATGGATCCATATGGGGGTTTCCTGAAATACGGGTACCTCTGTTCATCATCCATTTTAGATTGGGATTGTCCATTATAAACCATCCATTTTGGGGTACCCCCATGAATATGGAAACCCCCCATACATTGGTAAATACTGGAAACTATGAAACACTGTAAATAATGGGATTATCATTGGATACACCATCTACCAACTGGATATAATAATTTTGCAGAATGTATGTATGTCCACTATGTTCCAACGTATGACCATTTAGCAGGACAAATCACCATGACTTTACAGATGTTTACGGGTTATAGCCTCTGGCGTCCTCAAACGTGGCTGGAAAATCCTTGGCAAATGGGGGTTGTAATGGGAAAATAGTTTATAAAATTGTATAAATGGGTTTTCCAACTAATAGTTTGTAATAGTTTCTAAAATTTTATAAATAGTTTATAATACTCAATGGGAAGATAGTTCAAACCATGTTTGATCAACGGATGATTTTCCCTTTTTCTGTGACCCAGCTCTCATCTATTTTAGTGAATGTTGCTCCATCCACCAAGGAATCTACTAGGAATATATATATATTATATAGTTATATATATATATATAGTTATATATGTATATATAGTTATTTATATATAGTTATATATATATAGTTATATATATACATATGATATCATTTTGATAATACATATATAAAGTTATATATATATACACACTTAGTTATACAAATGTATATATATATATAGGTTTATAATGTATTTGTTATATATAGTTATATATATATAATTATATAGATATATACTGATATAAATACACATATGTACATATGATATCATCTGATAATATGTATACATATATATATATGTATAGATGATCCCAGGATCAGCACATCCAAGTTCTGAAGATTCAAACCCGAGGTTCGTTCGTCGCTCCGCCCTGAGGTTCTTCTCAGTGCATTTTTCGAATTCGTGCGGCGCGTGTTGCGCTGGTCGCGCTTGTCCTTACCAGCAGAAGCGGTTTCAAGCGCCTAAGGCGTGACGCGGCGTTCGTTTTTGGGGCGTGTGGAGGAGAATTGAAAGACACACGTATTTTTCTAAGGCTTGAAGCAGAATGATCATCTGATTTTGTGAACAAACATGGTGATCATCATGCCGTATTTTTTCCGGTCATCCCCAATCTTGGATAGGTTTATATAATTTTTTAGTTTTTTGCTATAACAGCAAAATAATAAGAATTAGCCAGCAAAAAAAAAATGGGGACTGCCAAAGGTTGACCATGAAATTTATACAAAGGTTGGACATGTTTGGAATAGGACTGATACATATAACTTACATGCATTCAGATATTATTGGAGCATGGGGTGTTGGATGAACATTTTGTCTAGGGAACACGTACTTGTTTTGTAATTTTATTCAATATGAATGACGACATCTGCAACTTTTGGATACATCCATCATTATTTAAGAGACCTGTAATATTGAAATTGCAGACTCCGGAAATTGCAGACTCCGTTGCGATTTTGTTTTTTTTATTTGGTGGAGAAATCTTGGTTTCTGGTTTCTGCAGAAAGGTGATGACATCTTATCACGAATCTTCTCAGAAGGAATTCTTTGGATGCACAACATCATAGAATTGGATGATGGGAAAATTTACAGGAAAACCCATGAAAGCCCTATATTTGATGGTAAAAACCATGGTTTCCTGTAAATTTTCCCTTAAACCAATCCAGTGACAACGAATCTCCATCGATCGTTGGATGTCTCCGTTCTGCGCGTCTCCAAGCCTCGATTTTGGAGCGTCACGACGACGCTCAGATAGGGGAAATGACGGTGGCCCCAAGTGGTTGCTGTTGTGACTTCGTTTTCTTGGCAAAAAACAAAGCAATCAATAATTTCATGAATATTCCCATTGTATACCAATGATATGGGGATATGAATAATAGTGAATATTCTATCCCCATATCATTATTATCATATTCTATCACCATATCATTGGTATCCCCATAATAATGAATAATGATATGGGGATATGAATACCAATGATCGGAAACATTAATATTTCACCAATGAATAATGGGGATACATTGGGATATAATGATAACAATGATGGGATATGATGGGATTACAATGGGGAAACAAACCCTCTGTCAACTTAACATCGTTATGGAAAACCGCAGTTTCTACATAGGTTGCTCATCTAAGAATCTATAAACGAGCCTTAAAAATCATAGCTATGTCAGATTCCCGGAGGGTCCAGTTTGGAGATATTCTGAGGTTTCTAGACACTTTCTATCCGGAGGTTTCCGTTTCGTCATGAGGGTACTCCTAAATCATCTAACTTTCGATTGGGAGAAACACCCAAATCTATCCAAATCTTGGATTTTGAGCAACTCTGACCCCAGACCATGCTGGCAATGTGAAAAAACTTTTTTGCGGTCAAGTTGGTGGGAAACCTCTGAAAGGAAATTCTTTATTTGCGCAAGCAGCAAACAAGATACTATATAGCCATCTATAGCCCCAAAAGGAAGTCATGCATGGCAAAAAGTAGAAGATCAGGATGGATGGTAAGTCGAGGTGAATGGATATAGAACATTATAGAACCATACTTGTAAGGGGCTTTCTTGCCTTAGCTATACGGAACAGACACCGGCAGTTCAATGCCTGGATTAGGATTTTCCACATTTTCCAACGGTTACCGCGCCATGTTTGATTCATGAAAAACTTAAGATATCCATAATGTTGATCAATTTGATCAATGGCTAATTTAAGGTATCCATATTTGGTATCAGAAAGTGCCATTTGATCCATATTTGATCCATTTGTTTGGGATGTTAATCCATTGTTTGGATCAATGTATCCAATTAACATCCCAATTATGGATCAATGTTGATGTTTATCCATAATTTGATGTTTATCCATAATTTGATCCCAATGTTGATCAATGCTAATCTGAAGATCAACCATGCTAAAGGCTTCTTGAAGGATCATTCCACAAATCCTGTTGAAGGAACATGTTGTGACCAGGACCATAAGATTCCATATTCACTTGCTGGTGAACAGAAACAATACTGCATGTTCACGGTCGAAAAAAACGCACATTAGTCAGATGCGGAACTGCCACACCACAGATTTCCCCTATACAATACATGCAAATTCTGCTACAAAAATTACGATCGACTTGTGCTGGACAGCGGTCGAGTTTGTCGGACCGCGTTTTGCCGCGTAAGACTTGCGGTGATCAATCTGAGGAAACACGGAAACACGTCCTGCTGTTGGGTCTAAAACCTGAGGACACGTGGGGCTGATACTGTGGACTTTTCAGAAATCCTGCAGCAGTTGATAGGTGGTTTAATAATGTTTATTAATGTATATCATAATCCCATGATTTACAGTGATTCCATGAGAACCCCATGATTTGCAGTGTTTCATAGTTAGCTTCATAGGTTTTTCCCAAGTGGTGTAGGATCATCCCCCGGTACGAGTAGGAGAGTTTTCATCTATTTGGGCCTATTTGGGCCCCCAAACCTTATGTCTGTTGGTGAACATATCCCCATCTAACTAGTTCGTTTTATAACTTATAACATCTTATAACTAGCATAAAGCCAAACGTGAAATTGTAGTTCTAAACGGCCAGCTGAACGCTATCAAACATGATCCCACCCTCGAAATTCAGCCATGGAACCTGAAATAATTTTGGTTTTAGTTGGATGATATAATTATGGCGCTGGGTTACTTGCGCAGTTCCAGTGAACTAAGTGGATATAGAACCATACTCATATGAGGCAACCCAATTCCCTTCAGTTTTGCAACCCAGTTCGTACATGTTAAATTTAGCGGGCGTAGCATTCCCAATGAGAGCAGCGCAGGGTTTGCTGTTGGATTCTTCTGGACAATACATAGCTTGGCAGGTCATGATGGACCATCTGGTTATGACTAACATAGCCATGGAAAATCCCTTATAAATGGAGGTTTTAATGGGAAAATCATCTCTAAATGGGCCATTTTCCATGGCTATGTTAAATAACCAGAGGGTAACATGAAACTTGACAGCTATGGGCTTTCATGATGTTTCATGTTAACAAGATCAAACAATGTTGTTAAGGATCAACATGAAACAATCCTTACCAAGAAACGTATCCAACATGAAAATCATCCTTGAAAGGCCATTGTTCTATTGTTCCATGTTGATCTTTTGGAGGGCAATTCGACACATAAACCATTCCAGTGACTTAAAAGATCTGACTTTTGTCATGCCTTCAAAACGGAACATTCACGGCACTTTTTGTCACTTTTCGTTTCGAAAGTTTCGAATTGATCACCTCGATCCTCGCGGCATCCAAAGTTGGGGGACTGGGCGATCCTCGCCTGGTAGAGCCGAAGCCGAGCCTCCAGAGTGCGCCTGGATGAGAACTGCAGCATGGTGGCGATGAGGATATGGGGGTTTCCTAAGTCATATTCCCGGAGGGTCCAGTTTGGAGATATTCTATGATATTCTGAGGTTTCTAGACACTTTCTATCTGGAGGTTTCCGTTTCGTCAGATTAGGGTACCCCAGTCATCCATTTATAGATTGCTTTTCCATGAAATAAACCAACCAGCTCACCAGCTATGGGGTACCCCCGTGACTTTGGAAAGCCTCAAGTAACTTACCCTTTAGTCATTTGTTACAAAGCTATTGAAAATACGTCATTTATAGTTCATTTACCTATTCAAAGATGGTGATTTCCATAGCTATGTTAGTTTACCAGAGGGTATATCCTTTGTTTTGTTCGTGGGATTCTTGTAGGGTTAATCTACTCATAGCGAGGTTCATAACTTTATAAGCCACTTACTAAGTGGAATGAGCCACCAAGTACACTCAGATAGCAATGGAAAACGGCCCTACTTGGCCCATATTGGAATGATTCACCAAGGAAAAACATTGTGATTTCCACAGCTCGGTTAAGATACCAGAGGGCAATGGGAGTATAACAGGATATGTGATCAATAAGTATATATATATGTATATATATATATATATGTGTCTATATTATGGAGTTATCTTAAAGAGCCTTTTTGATTGATGACTATATGATGGGGTTAGAAAGTTATACTATCCAGTATATATAAATACATATAAATACATATAAATACACATATTATTGCGGATCAAATTTCAATCCAAAATCTCCTCAACATTTTTTTTTGTGGGACTTTAGTCATGATTCTTCCGGAGAATTTTTGCTACCTCAATGTTTCATGTTTAGTGTTGATTCATCATCATTTCGCTCCATTGAATTTAAGCGTCGCTCTAAAAAGGGTGGGATCCCCAGAAGCTTTGGCGGCATCGCGGCGCATCACGCTTGGTGGTTCATGCCTTGTGTAGATGCTGATGGTAACCAGCTGGCTGCCGGGTACCAGGATTTTTTTTCCCATAACCCATAGGATCCATGGTGCTGGTATATGTATTCTAACATAAAGGGGGTATATTGATGGGATCCATGTTACCATATATAATATACATGGATCCTATGGGTAACCATAGATAGATCTCAGCCAACATCACCCAAAACTTTTCAAAACTTCCTATCTATCTCCCGCAGGGCATGAACCACCTTCCAACCTCCTGCGCCGGGTCTGTGCAAGTCACGATGACGTGTACCGCAGCTGGCTGCCAGGACATTTTCATCTGGATCCACAGCTACGAAGGTAGAAATCATAAGGATAATGGTGGATTAATAAATAAGATTGGGGATTTGATGGGATTTATAGCTGGTGTTTTTTGATGGTCAAGTTGGGGTATACAGAAACTCCACTAGCTCGGATAAAAATGGCAACTATAAACGAAAGTTCATGGTGTTTATAGATCAACTTATAACTGGAGAGCCCCACCTTGTAGACAAACAACGATAAAGTGAGTTAAAATTACATATGTTTTCCTCCTAGTGACCTAGTGGCTATCATTTACCTATAAAGTAATGAGTTGAAGCAACCCTGTTAACTGGGAAAATCCAAAAAATATTGGAGAAACATCCACCAACCGTAGGGCCGACCAATCAAAGATCCAGAATGGGCCGACTTTTTTGAAAGTCCTTGTGATTAACCTTCACCTTATTCAGTTGGATTCTGA